ATGAAACACATCTGCTGTGAAATCTTGGGCTGCGCAGCAAACAGGAGGTCTAGGCACCGTATATCGCGCTAGGTTCACAAAATGGAAATTGTAAGGTAATCACAAGGCGGAAAAATGAGGTCCCGTAGGTGGAACATTCGAAAAAGTCCGGTGCTACATGTCAGGCTCGGTACCCGGAAAATACAAAATCCTAGGCGGGAAAACCCCCAGTCCAGAGTTAAACCCAGATGCCGGAATTCTACTACCGTATATTCGTAATCTGATAAAAGGTACACGTCCCACAAAAGCATAACTCCCACCAGGCCCTGTTAGTACTCTTCAACAGTGTACCATAAAAACAGTCAGTCAGGCCAAATAGGCCAGTTTGGCAAAACCCGGCCAAACCCCTTATGCCACCATCCTGGCAATAACAAATCCTTCTGGTGAATGTACCTTCTGGGAAAATCGATGAAAGATGTTGGAAATCAAGGCCACCGGGTATTGTCTTAGAATCAGCTCCCTACGGATAGCCATGAAAGCGTATAGACGACCGAAAGAGTCTGAAGACAGTCGATGGATACGATGGAGGGTGCCCATCAGTGCACCAACTTTGGCTACCTTTACCGAATAGGAATCGAAATCTTGAAAAGACCCAAAGGTCAAAGATCCCTCGTTCCAAATACGTTCAACATTCTTTACCATGGCAGTCGTACGGATAACTAACCCACATCTCTCGATCTGAATCCCAGCAAATGTCCATGCTGATTGACCATCATCAGTCTGAATCAACCTCAAGGTATCCCCATAGCAATACTCGAAAAAAACCAAGATTTGTCTGGCTTTATCGTAGCCACCTCCCTGAGTGACTGCCACAAAAACTGTAACATCATCTACTATCCTAAAACCAAACATCAGGCGTCTATCCATCCCAAGGTTCCTAAAAAACCGGAATTCTGCAGAAGCACAGAGAATACAAGCCAAAGAACAATTGGTCGACTTGCCCATCGACACACCTATCACTTATTTCAGCAGAGTGTTCCCTGACCAGATGTAGGTAAATCGTAGATAAAAAACAACCATACTCCAAATCTCAGCCAAGCTAATCCAGAGGAAATCCTCACGCCTACCTCTGAAAGACAAGTGCGCCTTTTTGCCCCTTCTTGCCACATTTACTGCTTGGTATCCACGCGCATCAAAATAAGATAACAACCAGTCCATTGCAGACAGGATGTCATCATGTGGCAAAGTAACGAACATATCCTTGATGTCAAAGGATCCAGTAATCAGATCAAACACTCCCAACTCATTTCGTAGGGTTCTGTCCATTTTTCTCAGTCCATCTGGCAGCATAGCAACTGCCTTCAGGTTGAAATTAGATCTAGCTGGTAACGCAAAAAGGAGGCAGTTCAAAGCTCTCGCCACCCTGGTACAAGCCAATCTAGCAGGTCGGTGAAATCGGACGCCATCTCAATAAATCCTTATGTTTGGGCAAAATGTATGCCGATCCAAGAGAACCTTTGGGATCTCATTTTGCCAAATGCTCCAGGCCAGCGTTTAGAAAAGTACCACGCATGAGTTGGAGAATCTCACGTTCCATTGTGCTAGTGGACACAAAGGACGGATTAAAATCAAAGGTCAGTCTCATATGGTGCCGGTACAACAAAGGACATATCACAAGTGTATCCGTGATATTCCTATCTATCGGTACACATACAAAGAACCGAAGACGACTGATCCAAGTTTTCAAAGAGTCAGTGAATCCAAAACCCGAAAGATCCCTCCAACAAGCCTGCAAATCTGCGAGGTTAATAATGAAAGTCGATCGTACATAGGAGTAAACCGTTGTTAGCTGCTTACCAAGATCCAGTAGGCCTTTCCCACAATCCGAAGCAGGGATATTTCTCGAATTCCGAATCAAATCCGGAACTCCAGGGATATCAGAAACACGAGCTCGGATATGCAATCCAAAACGAGGCCAACCTGGTTCCATATCAAGGCACGCCTAGATCACAGATGCATCATCGAGCCGAGCAGCTTCACGATGGGTCATGATAAGTTCGGAAATGGACTTGTTCTTTATCTAAACTACCTGATCCTCTTCTTGAGGAATTCTCATAAGGTAAACTGCAGGGATGAACATTCTATTATCCGTTCCACTAATTGATGGACCCTAGCAGAACACAACTTGTGGTCGAGAGACGGACCACAATCTGTCTCCGAACATCGATACCGGTTTTAGACTTAATGACTTTTGAGAGTACATTTTTAAGAGCGGACCTTGTCTCCTTTCTCGAGAACTCCCTAGCAGCTTTGAACCATCAAAGCAGGGTATCTACTGACTGAATGCGCAACTCGTTCCTCCTCCAAGGTTGCTGCAGTAGTAATCGTAACTGCCCTTTGAGAATCGTCCTGCCATTCGGGGTAAACATGATAGGTCCGATAATGAAATCCCCTCCCTCCTGGATTCTTCCTTTTAGGGAACTCAAACAGGCGAATCGATCGAGAAATCGAACAGGCGAGCATCCAAACATCCTCTGAAGCACTGACCAGCGGTCAACCCAAACATTACCCGGCGAAATATGCAGGTATTACCTGATCCCGACAGAATAGGAGGTTTTCAAAAGACTAAGTAAAATATCAGACCAGGTGCCATTGTCCGATCGAAAGGCTAAAATCCGGAGAAGACCAGATTTAGGACGACTGCTATGATTCCTCCTAGCAGCCGAAAGTCTAGACCGATGCCGATTAATCCTAATTAATCTTCTCGTATTCAGACATGGAGAAAACATCCGAATTACCGATTTCTCAGCGCTATCAATCGAATCGAGACCATTGACCACTGGGACTGCTACATACTTCTCATACCCAAAAAATCTCAGCCAACGATACAACTTAGGATTCATTCCCACACCTCATGTGAGAGTGGTACGAATATGTTCGCCCCATCGAACATAAACCCCTCAGACAGAACTACCAACATACTGTGATCTGCAAAATGGAGAGGGCAAAATATAGACTGTCGGACCTTTATCCCATTCAGTCCAATCTACTGATTGAAGTAGGCTGTCGAATTTAACCATCCACGAGATCTCACCGAGTAGTGCAAGAGCCACAAAACATAACGTCGAGGCCTTCTCATATTGCAGCCGCAAACTATGATGTCGACGTCTGATCGGGATACCAGAACGTTTCTTCATAGAGCCCATCAAGTTCGACCAAAGCTTGTAACGCGAAAACCGTGCTAGTCAGCTTCCTGGGAGATCTTCATCTGGTGAAGTCGGAGCAGAAGTGGAGGGGAGAAATACAAAACCCTCGTATGCACATTTCACTCGTGTTGTGATGATACGCTCGATTGTCGGGAGCTTTGTGCAATAGTGTACCCCCTCCTTCGAACAGATCCTCTTCAGTTCTTCTGGTTTCATGCTCGAAAGCTCCTTTCGTTGGTCTAGAACAAATTGTATCAGACCTTCAGGTCCACTGCCCGCCGCTATCTTCGTTTTTGTATGTACCTCGCCCTGATCAGATGACTCGACTCTACACCGATTGTTCTCCACCGATCCGGATGGAATACCGAACGACGGTTGGCGAAAACGAACGCCATCGGACACTGGAGCCTTCCCGCGTCGCTTTCGGTCCCTCAAAGCACTTAATCTCCTAATTTCATCATCCAGATCCTCCACTTCCCGATCTAGTTCTTCTTCCCACCTCGCATCTCTCCGCCGAGGAGTAAAACCAACCGGAGTCCTGATTTCTTCCCTACGAGCCTCCTCCTTACAAGATAGGAACTGCTTTCCTAAGAGTGCCATAAGTTCCGCCTTTGTTGCTTCTGCATGTCTCGCCGTCTCAATACGAACCTGGTCCTCGAATCTCCTCTTATCCTCCTGCTCCTTCCGCAAAGCATCCAACTGTTTCGTTTCCAGCATCATCTCCCTGAGAAATTGCCTCTCTTCCGTGTCATCCGGTACACGTCTCGGTGCCCAAAATCTCGGAGCGGTAGGAGCCACAACCCCATTAGCGTTGCCTGTTGCAGTGTTATGTCCACGTGCGTTCGAGGGACATTCCCTCGAAAAATGCCCCTCGCCTCCACATGTGAAGCACTTCAGTGGAGTCCCCATCGTTGGTGAGAAAATACACAGAGCGCCGAATATCAAACTAAAGCAGCAAATAATACGAAAACCAATAACCAGACTCTTTTTTGTATACCCTACAACAGGGATGAAAAAAAAGGAGGAGAGCTGATGATAACGGTACGAGCGGATAGTATGTCGTGTACGCCCTATCAAAACCAGATGCCTCACAATAGGTCTCAGTCTACGGATCATATCTCACAATTACACGGTAGACATTCGTATTCTCGTCATAGGACACCACGATCCTTACCAAAGTACAACTATCACCTATCCACATCGCACATCGCAGCACCACCCTCATACTTACACCTCAAACGAAAGGAACAAAAGGAACAAATACCGCCACCCACTCCTGGATCTCAAGTAGCGTCCTCACCAACGCATCGTCGACATAGCCACCAAATAGTGTTCGACCGCACTATCGGATACTATGCTTGTCAATATGATAGACAGACTGAACGGCTCATCAGCCATAGCATGAGGATAATCACAGACAAATGACAGCAAAATAAGCTTTGGATTATCACGCACACCGAAATAAGCTTCCATGAAATGTCAATAACGTACAACCATGTCCACAGAGCAGAGTACTCTGATCATCCCCAAGAGTCAAGCTCTTACCACCACATACCACGCTCCTGCGACCAAACCTCTACGTGTTTCAGCCACCCCGCGAGTGGCCTCATCAGGAGGATTCCTGAAATGGCTAATGCTCATCACACGAAAGCCAGGAGTAAGAGGCCATTCCGATAGCCTTACCTCTATTTATCCTATCCCTGATCTAACTCTCGATCGATCTCCCTGCTTAGTACTCGTTACTCGTGACCATACGACACACCTCCCCACCCAGTCGTCGATCATGAACCTCCATGGTCCCAGAAAACTCCTGCAAATAGAAGATCTTCATCGTCTTGGGCATGGGAATCTGCACAAAGACGACAACACAGGAAAAATACACAACCAACACACAAAAAACAAGCCAAGACCAGGAAATCGCCGTCGTATGCCAGAAGTAACCTTACGACACAAAGAAAGCAGGTTGAGTGGTCCACCAGACCTAGTACCATCACCCGGGAGACTCCGTTCTGCGATTACTGTCGTCGGCGCAATAAAGCACTGAGAAACCTGGGGAACATGTGCGCTGATGAAAGCTCCTCTAAACCCAGAAAAAGTAACCCGTCGTGCCTGCGGCCATAGCCGAGGTTACATGCCACTTAAGCCGTCGCGGAAAGATTAGAGAGTGGGAGGCGCCGTGCCCTCATGAATGCTCCATTCTGCTGACAGCTCGTAGAGCTCCATCGGCCTTCTGTATCGAAAGAGGTCTAATGTGGTGATTGCCAGGATACAAATAGTATCTCGCGACGTTGTACATGAAACAC